CTTCGTGAGACGCGACGCGGGTGGGGTCCACGCGGAGGTTCTGGAGGTGCTGAGGCCGTGGATGGAGCTGGGGTACGTGACGCTGCAGGACATTAGGGAGCAGGAGAGGTTCGATGGGTACTACCACAACCAGTTCATGGTGGTCAATGATTGTCTTCATAGGTACAAGTTCATGGCCAAGTGGATGTTCTTCTTTGACGTCGATGAGTACATCTATGTTCCGCCCAAGAGCACCATCAAGTCTGTGCTCCACTCGCTCTCTCATTACTCTCAGTTCACCATTGAACAGATGCCCATGAGCAGCATCATGTGCCTCCAAGAGGATTACGGTAAAACTCACAGGTACGTGCAATCAATCTGCATGCCATCATAAAACGATTCTTTATTTAATTTATTCTAATTCTTTGCTGCTGACTTAATTTTCTTAAATGATTCAATGTGGAATCATTTCTATCCGGTTGTGATTAAGGATATTAAATTTCTTTTCCACACATAATCTCATGTGTCATTTGCTTGTTGTGTGACGTGTACAACAAATTAATCAGGTAAGTCTCAATTTCACATAAATTTTTTTATTATTTTTTAATAATAAAAAAACCAAATTAAATAATTGGAAAGATAAAACAATAATTTAATGTACTTCCTTTGGGTTTTGTTCCAATAAGGTGAAACGTCTAAAAAAATTATTTTTGTTTTTCTATATATATTCATAATCGGTGAAGTTCTTCCGTCACATTATTATACTAAATTTCAGAGGACAAAATTCGTCAATTATAAAAATTAAAGATCAAAATCATATTGATAAAATGAAAATTGTGGGACCCAAATACATTTTATATATCAATATTTCTTTAGCCAAAAAGCTTCAATCTGCCAAATTTCTATTGAAAATATCTGGTTTCTCGGTGTTTTATACGTAACTGAAATGGTAAATCGAGGGATTGAAATGGCTCAAACAATTGGAAGACTGAATTGAGTGGATTTAGTTTAGCAAAGTGACTTTTGCTCTTGCTGTTCACTCGAGCCATCAATTCGATGTCAATGTCCTTTCCTCTTTTGTTTTAGTTCTCGAAATCATAGAGGATCTTGAGTGATTTGGACACTATTTATGGAAGGACAGGAAATTAATTGCATTATTGTGGTGCGCATGCGTTTGGAATTATTAGCTCTTCCTTTCGTATTGATTCTGTTGTTCTCAGTGTTCCAGGTGGAAAAAGTGGGGTTGTTTGAACAATGTTCTAAAGTTATATGATTTGTTTCTGATTTGTAGGAACAACCGTCTTTAATAAGTCTTAAGAAGTAGGTTAAGAAGTCTTAAGAAGGAGATTAAGAATTTATAAAATCGACTTCTAAAATAAAAACTAATCTTCACTTATATATACTATTATATCTTTATTAATTGAAATGGGATAAACAGAGTAAATCGACCATACTAATTCAAAGAAGAGTGTTTTAACATGTGTTGATGACCATTCTTGAATCATCGATCATTGTCTTCTTCAATAAGTTAGCTGCACTAAATCTTCAAAATCTTTTCAATTGTGGCAATTGAAAATCCTCGCCGAGCGTGCAGAAAATTGATGGTGATCCTCCTTGACGTTTGTTTTTATTGATTTTAATTCTTATCTTCTGATTTAGACACATAGTGCTTTTTTCCACAAGTGAGCTCTGATCATGACAGCTTGTAGGTATGCACTGCACTACAATATTTTAATATTCATAATAAATATAACCATTAATTTGGTCGCACTCCGACAACTACGATTAGATCTAGCTGTCCTAGTTTAAGTTGCTTGATTTTATTGCACAGAATTGCTATAGATGCTTCAAAGAGAAGAACCGAGCTAGCCGGTATGGTGATGGTGCATCAATTGTCAAGTGTTTTATTGCTTTTACAGTAGATCTTATGACTTCCTCTACAAAAATGTTTTTCAGACACCCAAATACCACAAAATCACCCCCAACAACATCCATAAAAAAATATTGTCTTTCCTCTTTTCTTCAGTATGGAAAAATTGAGGTAAAAGAATAATTAAAAACATAAAAAGAATGGAAAATAAGGTATTCCTAAAATATTTTCTTTAACTATGGTATTAGTATAAAATATTTATTGTCAAAAGCAGTGACTAATCTTTATCAAAGACTGTTAATACATAGAAAGTGAGTATTCTCCATCCAACATGGTCTATTTTATACCCAAGGCCAAAAATCAATTCTAAAAATCTTGATTTAGGGGTACAAATAACTATCACTCTTGTCAACCGATAATGCTATGATATTTTGTGAAAATTTGGTGTTAAAAAAAAAAAAACCTCAGTTACTTCTACCATACATACAATGCACTTAGGAACAATGCACTACATATGGTGTTCAATTAGTTGAACATATCAATGTTGTTTACAACCTTTATACAATTTCTTTTAAAGCTTCATGATTAAGGTTATGATTATGAATAGGCTTTTATATATGTCAAGTTCTTATTGAATAAGTACTTAGGTTATTTAATTATGCTTGTGTAATGTCTGGTGTCTGACATGGCGTGGTATGAATTTTACTTACAGGAAATGGGGTTTTGAAAAGCTTGTATTCAGAGATAATATTAGAGGCATTCGTAGAGATCGAAAATATGCTGTGCAACCACGGAACCTGTATGCAACAGGGGTGCACATGTCACAGGATCTAGCAGGAAACACAACTCACAAAACTGAAGGTAGGATCATGTACTTCCACTATCATGGATCCATAGCAGAAAGGAACGAATCATGTAAAATACTTGTAAACTCAACGGAAATCACTCATGACAAAATTCCTTATGTGTTGGACACCACATTGAGGGACATTGCTGGGGTAATCAAGAAATTTGAGCTCAAGATGATTGGATCAAGGTTGCAGAAGACAAGGCAATGACATTCATCAAAATATTACTTCCCTTTTCTCTTGATGGGGCTTTCCTAAACAGAAATATATTATAATTTAACTTGTGGTGGAAGGATACAAAAATCACTGAGAGCTTTTTTCCTTTTTTAATTTCTGTATTATATGTTTTTTTTTTTTTAATTATTTGGTACAGATACAGTTGGGTATATGATCTTGTTTCATATTTAATTTTTTGTTTTTTTTTGGGTTCTATGTTCTGTTATTTAACTTTTATATGTATTTTGTAAAAAATAATGAATAAAGATGCATGGTTTAATAATGTTGTCGGTGTGGGGGACCAAGGCAACCCCACCTTATGTGCCACCATAAGGAGGGTGACCAATGTGTTGTTTTGCTTTCTCTTTGCGCATCTTTCCTTTTATTATTATAATTATTATCATTATTTTGGACCTTGCCCTTTTCTGAATCCTTATATCTCAATAAATTTCGATGAAAGCATACATACCCTATAGTTTCTTCCCCTATGCCTTTTATTTGTAGGAAGATGGGAAATTCTGTGCTGTTGGTTTAGGAACAGAACATTGATCAAAGGGGTAGCTTTTTTGGCATAGTCAAAAAGGACGCGTGGGCTATATGAGTGCTCTTTCTATTGGCATCTAAGGAATGTGGTCCCAGGACATACCGAATCATTAGTTTGGTAACTGATTTTGTTTGACTCATTCGTTTGCTTTTACTTTTTGATTACTCAAAATTTATGTACCAAGAGAATCTCCAATTATGTAATCATGTAAAGCTATTTAGCTCTTTATTTAACTGTTGATAAAGGGGTTGGCAATCTAGTTTTACATTTTTATTTTTTTGGAAAGAATACAAAACTAGTTATGGCTTTGGATTTGTTAAAATATATTTAAAGAGTTAATCACCTATATACTATTAGTGTAAAAAAATTTTACACTGACAAACAATCATATATTTTAATAGTACTATGTTATTTGTTTATTTAATTAACTAAAAATAAAATAAAATAATTTAAAATATATAATTAGTTATCAGTGTAAAAAAATTTATACTGACAGTATATGAATAATTAACTCATATTTAAAAGTGTAATTTGTTAAAATATTTCGTTTTTTTTTAAATAAATATAACATAAACACATTTCTTCTTTCGAACAAAATGTTAGTAATAAAAATCGAAAATTGTTAGGCTAAGTAATTTAATCTTTTTTATTTTAACATTTGCATGTAGTAATAATTAGAGGTTAAAAAGATATATATATATATATATATAAATAAATAAAAGAAGAGATCTATTTATTCTAAGAGTAAGTCTATCTAAATTTACTACATTTTATAATTCATATTTTATATCAAATTTCAACAACTCAACCCAACCGTTGAATTTAAAGTTTTTAATGCATAAATCAAGTCTGTAAATTTTTAAAAATTTAAAAATTATTTGATATTTTGTTTCAATAGTTTAAATTTACGGATAATTATAAAAGTATTTTATATGTTAATTTGAATCAATGAAACGAAATATCAAATAGTTTTCTAATTTTTTTAAAACTTGCAGACTTATCATTGCATTAAGAACTTTAAATTCAACGGTTAGATCGTTAAAATTTGATGTATAATATTGAAGTAAACGGATCCCTCATGTATGTATGTATGTATATATATATATATATATATATATATAGTATTTTAAAGAAATTAAAATTATGTTAAATTATTATATATAGTGAATATAAAAAGTTTGAAATAGCAAATACATATAGTAATTATATGTAAAATACATATATTTATCACAAATTAGGAGAAGATATTAAGACATTGAATTTTTATTGTGGTTTTAGTTTTCCAAGTTCATTGTATTATTAACATGATTTTTTGAGGCAAATAAATTAAAACAACTAATTTTTTTTATAAATGATCAATGTAACACCCTTTATTCCACATATGTAGATAAATTTAAAATATTTAAAACTTTCTAGTGAATATATAAAGATATTCTAAATTCATACATAAAAAGTCAAAGTGAAACCTCCAACCTGGGGTAAAGAGTTTCACGTAATAAGTTTCAAAAAAAACTCCATACTAAAGGGGAAATATAACACTAAACATAAATCTTGTACTTAGAAATTAAATGAGAATATCCCTTACTGGTGAGAGTTGAAGACTGAATGGTTAAACAACTTAGAGAAAAGGATATTCCTTTGGTTAAGATTGTCTAGGGAAGACCTACTTCTAAGAATGTTACCTGGAAGCAAGAACTGAAGGAAGTATACTCAAAGTTGTTCGCAACAGGTAAATTCGATGAAGAATTTTCTTTTTAGAAGGAGATAGTTGTGACATCATATTTTTAGAAATTAAATAAAATAAATGTTTTTATAAAAGAATTATATTACATACTTAAATAATTTAATTAATATAATTAAAATATTTTTATTAAATAAATAAAAGAAAAACGATTGTGGGTTAAGAGTGGAGTCTTGGGTTGGACACTTGAGTCCAACCTAAAGACTTGTTAAGAAAAAGGTAGGTCATTCTTACACATCTATTCTGAATCTTAAGAGAACTTATAGTGGAAAACCTAAGGGGAGACATCGAAGAGCATGAGGAGTAGCAGCAAAAGCAGCATAAGAGCGTGCTTGTGCTACAAAGATTATCACTTGAGGTAAAATGGAGTGAGGATGTCAATTGAATTTTTGTAGTGTAAGCGTATGATTTATGGTTGATTTTTATTGTGTTGCTGTAAATTCGTGAATATTTTTATGAATTAACTATGTGATGAATTGAATTATTTTGAGGATTAGGGTAATTTGTATACATTGGAGTTTCTTATGAAATTGGATAAAATTGTATGAATTGGTGATAAATACTTGTTCTATATATGTTATAAAGTTTTTTTACCAATTGGTTTGAAGAAAGGAACATATTGAGGAGTTTGGATAGGTTTGGTAAACCTTATATCACGAAGCTCGGACTTTGCAAAGTGTAGGATTTGTGGCACCGTTGGGCGTAATGAACGTAGTTCTTTGTGCTGAGCATAGAGAGAGCCACGTTGGGCACAAGAGTGCTCGAGAGGTCTTTAACTTCTATGTGTTAGATGAGGGATGTCTCGCATGGTGTTACTTTGACATCATTTTTTAGGGAAATGGCATTGGGAATGACTTGGATCACATCGAGCAAATTTGTTTCGAAGGAGTCTTTCACTCCTCATTGCTAGATAAGGAATCAATCACATCAGATGTAGTTCATGCAAAGAGGTCTTTAATCTTTCTATGTCGAGCACATGTATTACCACATCAGGCGTGAATATGACTAAGAGGCCTTGACCTCTCCGCATTAGGTGCGATATTGCGTTGATACTAAAAAACCTTTAGGTTTAAAGAAAAGTTATAGTATAGTAGCCTATAAGGAGTCAAGTTATTAGAATTAAAAGAAGAAAATAAAAGAATAAGTAATCATGATTAATTAAGTAAAGAAAAAAATAAATGAAAAAAGACTATAAGTATGTTGAGGTTAGCCGAAAAACACATAGAAGGGGGGGTTGAATATGTGTGTGTGTGAACAAAGTTATTTTAAAACCGTTTTTGCAAGAGTAGTGTTTTTCATCCACTGCACTTTTGAATATCAAACGGTTGTTCAGAGTTTGCTTAACATACGATCAATGCGTCTGAAGGGTTTATCGTCCACTAGGAAAAATGTCTCGTAAAAAGACATTATTATTTTTCTCATTTGTGATCATCAAGATGGATGAGTTTCTAAAGATAATCAGACGTCAGAAAAACTTATATAGTAGGCGAGATGGTTAAAGAGAATCCTGTAGTCATGATCTACCAAAAAAAATGCATTAATCTGAATTAAAAAATATGTTCTACATGAGGATTTTGTATAACCAAATGAAAGTACTATTTCTGTTATGCTTAATCAGACGAATAAGTAGATAAGTATTTGGAAACAGTCTGATATCAGAAGAGTTATTATATACAACAAGAAAGGATAATACCATTGAGCAGATTATATCACATATCAGCCAATAATTTTATATAAGAAGAAGTAAATGCATTATTGACTAGACTTAGAGTTACATTGTGAGAAATCTACACATAGAGGTTTTTAGCTCGATTATCCTTATTTTCCTATTTCTCCTCCAGTGATCCTAAAGCCCCACTTCCTTGTGAGGATCTGTTTGAGCATGGAAGCCTTTTTAGGACGAGAATGAGGGAACTTCTACTTGATTTCTAGGAGAAGGTCATTTTTCGAGGAGAAGCACGTTCAAGGAGTTTTTCTTGCAGATGAACTTGCCTCTCCTTTCTTCTGCCAAAGCCCACTCCTCATTCTTCTTGTGCTTTTACAGCACCGACTCTGGAACAATTATTTTCACTTATTTGTCCATTCCAGGTTGCGTCTTCCTCTGCTTGTTCTGACGTAGAACCCTTACTTTGAGAATGTTGGTGTGTACCGAACACCATTCCTTCTATGAATCTTTGAGGAGCATTCGAGAGGACATAGTGCATCAACACCAAGTTAGTGTAGATGACACTTCTAGTGCGGATACACCAAAGTATCCCACTTTCCTTCATCTGGTCGATATTGTAGTAACGCTCTAGATACTTTTCTAGCCTTGCCTTCAAGGTGAAGATATAGGCACAGGTTATGGCATTGCACATTTCAACAAGGTTGTTATGTCTATCCATTGTAGTGGATGACAATCATTTGGAAGAGAGTGGGGTATAGGAATTTAGAAATACTTTTGGAGTTTTAGGAGTTCGCAAGTGTGAGTTGTGTTGTGATTTCTAAGAGCTCTTATGAGTTTTTATAGCTAGAGAAAGCTTCAAAATTTATGAATATTTTTTATTCATGCATTACATGGCACCTGTTTATTTTTCTCGTGCAGAGTAATGTGTGGCTGCATTTAATTGGGGATAAGGGAGTCGTCTTTTCCAACAGTTGCAAAAATGACGGTCATACAACCTATTGATTGACAAGCATATCTATTGGTAAAGGGGAACGTTTGATTACGCATGACAAACACGCCTTCCAATGATGATTATTATCAGTTTGGGGTACAATCGATAGAGTTCTTCCGATATAAGGCTTAGATGATCATAAAATAATGTGGCATTGAGTGATGATTTTCAGACCTAGTGGTTTCTTATTCATTTAGCGTGATGACTAACGTAGTGTCTTGCTACAGTTGTTGTTCTAGTATATTTCAGA